CAAAATCACTGGATCAACCAAAGTATCAGTTTTTAAAAGGTTTACTCGATTCCTTGGATGGTGTTGAATATTTTCCATTTACAGAACACGAACAAGTGCTGCCATCGAACGAGGCATGCCGCAATTCAATAATTATTTACGATGATATAGCTTGCGAGAAACAAGATAACATGAGAGCCTTCTTCAGTATGGGGCGAGACAGAGATGTTGACTATTTCTATCTTTGTCAGACCTACGCAAGCATTCCCAAACATCTCTTACGCGACAATGCTAATTTGCTTGTGCTCTTTAAGCAGGATGAAATGAATCTCAAGCACGTTTACGATGATCATGTAAACACTGATATGACGTACGTGCAGTTCAGAGACCTATGTTCGGCATGCTGGAACGACAGCAAGTGTGGGTTTCTCGTAACAGACAAGGATAGCGAACTCAACGAAGGTCGATATAGAAAAGGATTCGATTGCTTCGTGAGCATCAAAGAGTGATTATCGAAAAAATGGATACGGTAGTATTTTCGATTCAGTGATTGCAACATGCAGCGTGAAAAACTTGAAGAACAGAAAAACATCTTGCGTCAAATCGCTAAAGCTAGCGATTCGATTCGCAGAAAGCATCGAATGATAAAATTGGGTAAAGAGAATGTCGAGCATGCGATGAGTGAGGTGTTCAAACCGGTAGTGACTCCACTGCAGAAACTAGTGAACGTATCTCAAACAGAGCATAATACTATAAAAGATAAGATTAAAGATGAAATCAAAGGTGAAATGAAGCATAATGTAGGAATGAATGATACGTTTGAAACAACAAATGAATCCTTCCATACGCTCAAAAATGATTCCACTATCGGGGAAATCAGTGATATTCAAGATGATGATAATGATAATGGTAATGGTGATGATGGTGATGGTGATGATGGATACAAGAATGATATGGATTTACCCGTTAGTCAAAACGATTCGATGCAACGGTATCTTAATATGCTGCTATCGAGGCAGAATAAACAATTGGATACTACCTATGGTGTGCGTAAACTTTCCAAGAAGAAGTTGATGGTTAGAGATTCACCTATAAGTTTTGAGGATGATCAAATCCATATAGGCGATACCAGTTATCCGAAAACTAACAGTTTGATCGAACTCTTGTTTAGGAAGATACCTAATGAGACTCATGTAACCCAGGATGACTTGAACAATTACAAAAACATTATTATAACAACGAATGCATATAAGAAGTACTATAAATGGTGATCACACCCAATTGGACAACCGAAATTTTCACCGTAAGTCGAGTGAAGAATAACGATCCGGTGACGTACAATCTCAAGGACTACCAGGATCACCCCATCGAAAGCAGCTTCTACGAGCATGAACTTACCAGCGTCAAGTATCCCGACATATATCTTGTGGAGAAGATACTGAGGAAACGTGGAAACAAGCTATTTGTGA